AATAAAGTTCTCTGTTTATATTATTAAATATAAAGTATGTTTATATTTTCATGTGACTGAAATAAGTTTGTATCGTCTGCAAAAATTACAGCCTTTAAATTGCATGCTTTAAAAAATGCTTGTTAAAAACAAATTGCTGTCATTGCTGATAAATTTTGAACAATCTTAGAGTTTTACCTGCTATGCCATTGTATTCAAGTTTTTTGAGCAAAATATTATAATAGACCGTGTCAATAGCTCTTGACAACTCAACGAAAACACATAGTGCAAGTTTTAGATTTTTGAAAGATTAATTTATACAACGTGTTAATTGAAAAATAGCATGTTCATTCGAATTTTTTTTTTTTTTTAAACCGAACTGATTTTCAAAGGAATTTATTGGTAACTAGGTACGTGCAGAGTCTTAGTTATTAGTCTTTGGCCTTTGCTTCAGCCATACTTTAATGCAAAAAATTAAGGCCTTGGCCTTAAAACTGGTGGTCTTAGCCTTGGCTTTTGCCTTGAAAATTTTGGCCTTGGCCTTGATTGTTTTGGCCTAGCCTTAAAAAAAAGTTCTTGGTCTTGGCCTTGGCCTTGTAACTTTTGGCCTTTGTCTTGATTTTGGCCTTTGTCTTGATCTTTTAGCCTTGTAACGTGTGACCTTGGTCTTGGCTTTGGCCTTGCTACTTTTGGTCTTGTTAACAACTCTGAGTATGTGTACACTCTGTCAGGCACTATTCTTTCTAATATTTTTGAAAAAACCTGAAGAACAGAAATAGATCTGTAATTTGTAATATTAGTCGGATCTCCTGTCTTAAAGACCGCTCAAATGGTCATTTTAGTGATAGTTAAGGGTGGTCCTGAGATGTCCCGATGTTTTTCAAATAGATGGAGCATGTTGTATGTCTAAATATAGGTAATTGGTATCAAGAAATTAAATCTTTTTTTCTCGTAAACAAACTAATTTCTCTTTTCTAAACTCTTCTTTTTACATAAATAAAACTATTTGCATAAATACGTTTGCGTTCAAAAAATATGACTATATAAAGTTTAAACAACCCTCAATTTGAGGGGGTTACAAATTTTAATTAGTCATAATTTTTGAACGCTAAGAGATAATACTATAAAACTTAAAATTTATCGATGAATGTAAGTCTAGTTGATAATAGTAAAAAAAATATTTTATTAACTTGTTGTCCTCCCGTTAGGGGTAAGTGGGGATGAAATTTTGGGCCTTATTTGTACACTGCCTCCAAATTCTTATTTGTTCCCATCCTCCTTCATAAAATGTTCTTTTCAAATGTTTTACTTTTCACAATAAAATTAAATTGCTATTTAAAAATTTTAACAAGATTTAAATGATTAAAACCGGTCTTTATGCGTCTTCTTTTGTTTTTTAAAGCAAAATCTACGATCGGGTATCACTTATAATAAAAAGCCTAGCACTTAATACCCTCAGCTAAGCTCAGAAAGTTTGGTTTTAAATTTTTATCTATATATGAGAATGTAATTTAAAGTAGATCACATGTGCGGCCTAGTGCGGCCGTTTTTCTGTTTAAGTAAAGGTAAGTGTTAAAAAAAATGTTGCGCATTTTACGGGGTTTTATTGAAAAACACTTTGAAAAAAAGCAAGCAAAAAAAATTAATTTTCATATTTTTTCTTCTTATTTCAATATAAGATGTCAATAGACTAATATAAACCGTTAAGAAATTAAAATTTTGTGAAATTGTCTTGCTGCCCTCATATTTCATTTTTATATGATTTTTTACATTTTCACCAATATTTGAAAAGGAAAGTTTTTTTTTAATTTCTTATTATTCAGTGATCAAAAAAACAACAACACATGCAATAAATCTATTTATAGTTTGATAAAGAAGTGCTACACCAGGCCCCTCTTTGCTGACAAAAAAAAAATACACAGAAGCTACAGATAAAGCAGCAATTGTGTCTCTGTAATTGTAAAAAAGTTGCTTTATTATGCTGTTTTTGAAAGGATTAATCGATGGAGCTTTCACTGCTACTTGGAAAAGCACATTCCATCAGATAACAACTCTATTTAAAAAAAAGTTATGTTGATCCTCACAATTTCGTATAAGCTGGCATTCTAGCTTTTGATTACGCCCTCTCAAAATATACTTGGTTTTACTGTTTGAAAGTTTTTGCGGGACAAAAAAAACTGACAAGTTCGAGTTGACGCGTGATTTTAAATTGTTCGATTAGGTCTGCTATTTTACGGCGTTCTTCAAGTGTTGTTAGGTCGAGCTGTTGGAGACAATTTTCATAGAACAGCTGTTTAATAGATTATATTTTTCGATGATAGACTTGCTCGAGGATAACAATGTCTTTAAATGCGGCAACCAAGCTTGAATAACAAACTCGAGGTGGAGAAAATGTAAATAATATACAATATGCGCCATAAATAAAAAATGCTACTCCAAAATGCTTTTTTGAGTCGATCTAGCATTCTATTTGCAACTGATGCAGCTTACTCTACTTGTGGCCGAATGGATAACGCGTAGCGTCAACGTTGGCTATTGAGCAAGTGCCGTCAACTTTGGCCATTGAGTAAACAAAGAGCAATGGGCCCGAGACCGAGCCTTGAGTCACGCCACTAGTGACCGCTTGCCATTCAGATGTGATGCCGTTGATGACCACTCGTTGACTTCGGCTGAGATCCAGTCTAAGAGCGTGTCTTAAATACCGTAGGCTCTTAGTTTATGAAGAAGGAGTTTATGGGGTACTTAGTCAAACGCAAAGTCGCTATATATGAAGTTTACTGCGTGGCTGCAATGAATGGCTTCCGTCATGATATCCCAAGTTTCTAGTAGATTTGAGACGCAACCCTTGCGATGAACAAAGCCATGTTGCTTTGGATTAATTAAGCCATTAGCAACACAGTGTTCCACTGCATTTATTATTAGAATACTTTCTATCATTTTCAATGAAATAGATGTGAGCGAGATAGGCCGGTAATTTGATGCATGTAGTTTACTTCCCTTCTCGAAAATTGGCGTTACATTCAATTTTCTCCACAAGTCGGGGACTATACCAGTCGCGAACGAGCACTTATACATAAGTGAAAGAGGTTTAGCAAAGGTAGCTGCACATTTACTAAAGACCCGTGGATGTAAACCGTTTTAGCTGTTTGATTTTCTTTCATCAAGGTGGTAGAGGCTCATTTGTACTATATCGATAAAAAACTTGCTGGGTCGACGACACAAAATGCTTCAGTACGACTTTAAAAAGCTGGCATTGGACCTTCAGGCTCCAAAACAAAAGCCAAATGAAAATAGTTATTCAACAATGAGCATATATTACCAGTATCGGTAGTAATGTTGCTGTTAACTGTTTCTAGCAATGTAATAGTGTTCTTGACGCTTGTACATTGCTTTGTACATGTGCATTTAAGCGTTCAGGGTTGCTTTCGCACTCTCTGGCGAGTTTCTCTTTGTAGTTATGCCTGACAGATTTTACCATTTTAGTGCGTTTTTGCATGCGGTGCGATGTGATTCTTTGAATAATTGGTGCGTATCACGACCTGTATCAATGTACTTAGGCCAAAAGGCGCGTTTAGCCAAATAATCTGGTGTTACTTATTGCTCTTGTTTCCCAGTGAAGGGAGTAGTTGTTGATGGGATGTATCGATCGATGGCTTCATTATACACGTTTATTATGAGCTGATAGCTATCTTTTGCATTTAGACCAGTGAATTCTTTTTCCCAATCAACAGCTGTAGTGTGCAAGAATATTGCTACGTAGTTTGCTTGGCTCCAAATAAGTCGAGGTCGTACTGGCAAAGTAGACAAATTGTCAAAGCCTACAACAGCAAATTGACTTTCAATGAAACCATTGGAGTGTTACCAAGAGAACCACCTTGTTCAATGAAGATGGCTCATTTATTATGATTAGATCAAGCGTGCTAGTGGGATCGACGTGCATACTACTACGGTACGTTGGGAATGTGAAAAGCTGAGTTGAGGTGAAATTCATGGCACTTTTGAAACCTTATATCGCCTTGACGCTCATTTCTCACGTGAGCAACTGTTGCAATGCCACCGTTAACTTCAATAGACTCATAATAGATATGGATAAAATTGAAATCTCTATATACTAACATTGTTGAGCAGTTTATATTAGACAGTATCTGCCGAGCGGCTGTGATTGATGTGATACACTGAGTAAGAACCTGATTATTAGGGTCGCTAGGGAGATATAAGCAGCCGAGGAGAAACAATTTTTCGCCGATTTTTATTTTTTGACAGATTTTCTCAATTGATGTTGAGTTAAGCTGAGTAGATTTAACTTCATTGACTATAATGTTATCTTTTGTGTGAATGGCAACTCCGCCGCAACTATTCGATCCGGCTTTGCGATGAGGTTGGTGGCCGGGTATGGCAACGTCTGAAAAACCTGTGAGCCAAGTTTCCGCAAAAAATATGACGTGTGTCCAACTAGACATAGGCAGAGCAAATAGTCTGGCCAACAGCTCTTGGTGTTTGTCATTATTGATAAGCATGGGTTTTTTGCCCAGTAGCGTAGATAACTAGGTGGAATGATGGAAAAAATTGCAATTTTTTTGGTAAAATTTGTAAATGAGCTCAAAAATTACAGTAGGGAAAAAGTTATATCGGTTTTAGAGTGCCAGGGGTCTTTAGATTACATTTACAAAAAGAACTTTCTCCAATATAAAAGTTGGTTTTGAAGGGTTTTGCTCACCTCTGGCACTCTGTGCACTGCAGCGTAATTCCAAATTCATTTCGTCACTTTCTCTTGCAGCCAAAACAATGTTGCTGAAATGTCTTTGACACAGGCTCGATGCACTTCTTTGTTAAATTATTACTTTGTGATAAAATCCAGGTTTACTATAATCGGCACTTTTAATGCCAAATATAAATCCGGTCGGATGTATATTCTCAAAGATAGTTCGTTCGGTCGGTCGGACCACGAATACCACCAGCCATTAATTTAATTATCAAATTAGGATACCAATAAAAAAAATAGAGGCAATTGTGTCTCGTTTTACTCACATGTACTGTAGATTTGCGCGTGCGAAAATGTTAAAAAAAAAAAAAAAAATTATACATACTATATAAATAACATCTTGTAATTTCAATGATTTTTTGAGTAAGCTATATGTTGATGTTTACCTAGTAATTCTAATTTTACTGGTTTATTACAAATGCTTTATCAATTTATAAATTAAAAGGTTGTTAACTGAATTCTGATTGAACCTAATGTTCAATCAGAAATTTTATAGAAAACGTAACATTTTAATAAAAAAATATAATAATGTTATATTTGCTTATTAAAATATAATATCAATATAATAACAGTATATTTGTGTATTAGATTGATCAATTTAGACATAGTAATTTACCCCCAATGAGTGTATGTTTATCTATCTATCTTTTTATTATTCTATATATCTATCTAGGTGTGTGTGTGTGTGTCTGTGTGTGTGTGTTTGTGTATGTGTGTGTGTGTATGCGTGTGTGTGTGTGTGTATGCGTGTGTGTGTGTGTGTGTGTGTGTTTTATTTGTATATCTATCTAATTGTGTATGTGTGATTTATTTATCTATATGATGATCAATTTCTAGTATCTGCGAGTTGTTAAAGATTTTTTTTGATATATTTTCTTTTAGATTTGAATTGAGCAATGTTGCTTACTTATAGTGTTAATCTTTAATCTTATCTAAAGATTCTCATTCAAAATGAGACTAAAAATGAAATGGTCTTGATAAATCCAGCATTTAAACCTCTCTACATTCTAAAATAGTGCTTTTTAGAGGATTTTATCCACTTCAACAAACAATGTTTGCAAACAAAGCAAACTTTTGCAGAATATGTAGGTTTTGCGTCAATTGGTTTTTATTCTGCTGCATAGTTATGAACTTCTTGGCTTTTAAAGCTTTTGCCAAAAGCCTGGTCATTATTTTGAGATAAAGGTGTCTATGGAATAAATTATAAACAGTAAAGTTTAGCAGAGCAGTCTAATTTTTTAATGATATTTTTTTAATTGAAAAGAATCAAAAAAAAAAAAAAAAAGAAAAAAATAATGATAATAAATAAATAAATAATATAAGTAAAAAAATAATAAGTAATAAAAGTTTTTTTTTAAAATATCAAAATTAATTTGCAAACCTAATGTTATGTAAAGATCAAATTTCTTAGTACAATATTTTTTTGAATTTGGTGGCAAGTTTATTGCATGTGTTATATTATAGTTTTCAAAATGTGTTTGTAAAATCTGGAAGATCAAAAATAAATTGAAAAAAATTAATTAGAATTTCAAAAAAGAATAGTTTACCATCTTTTTAATTTTATTTTAATTTTTGAAAACAAAATTTGGTAAAAGGTCCGGTAAAATGTGGTAAATGTCTAATTTTGTTTATTTATAAATGTTGAGTCATACAAGATTGTGGAGGTGGAACTAGAGACGGTAGGTCACTTGAGCAGAGATAGTAGTAGTATTTGTTGAAAAAAGAAGATGCAACCTGAAGAGGAGGAACAGCATTAGAATAACCAGTCCAAATATCACAATAGTATTCTATAGAAGGACAGAAAAAAGATAGCTATAAAGAATGGAATCAGAAGTGTGTTATTAGTTTTGTATCTTCAGTTTCATTATCAAGTCATAATGAGAAATACTAGAGTATGTTTATCAAGTGCAGGATTTTCTGATAAGTATCAGAAAAATAGTTATTAGATGTTGAAAATAGTTTATTATTTTATCCTGCATAAAAAATTTTAATAAGTCTTATTTCTAATTGAATATGCTATTGAGTTATAAAAATAATTTTAATATATACCTAAAATGTTCATGTTGATATTTGGCTTTGTTTCCTTATTTAAAATATACCCAAATAATTGGTATTATTTTCATTATTTCAAAATTTTTTCCATTAGTATGATAACTTTTTTTTTAATTCTATTTAGATAAATCATGTTACGCTCTCTTGATACAAATAGGAACAAAATTAATATGTGAGTTTTTTTTTAAATCTATTTAGATAAATCATGTTATGCTCTCTTGATACCAATAGGAACAAAATTAATATGTGAGTTTTTTTATTGAAAGTATATTAAATTTGAATAGTTTCATTTTTCTTTGCTAAATTTTATTTTAAAATTTAAAGGACTCCTTGTCAAGTGAGCCTTGAGAAACTTGCACCAAGTCGATATATGCACAATGAAAAGATATTTGATTTGCGTGATACTTTAAATGACAGGAGGTCATCGTCAAAGAATACACCAGTATCAAATTGTGAACTTCCAAAAGTTTCTTCTACAGAAGTTGTTTCGACTGATGTTCCTGAAACTGATTTAAAAAAAGCATACATCGTTCATAATTTAAAATTAAATAATACAAAATCAATAAGTTTTAGTAATGATATTGGTGAAAAGCAATTTACTAAAGTTCAAGATGCAAATGTAAATTTTACTGAAGACCAATTGTTAAATGAACAAGATGATTCAGATTTATCCAATTCGTTTAGTGACGAAGATGAAGACAATATTTTAAAAGAAGACAACCATGAAACAAAAGGATCTAATTTAACACATGAAAATGTTGATTTTGATGCCATGTCAATCATGATCGATGACGATTTAGATAATTTAAATAATGATTTAGATTTAAATAATGATTTAGATGAGTTATATGGAAACAAGATTTCAAATAAAATCAAGTAAGAATTATTTGTTAATTATGTTGCAAAATTAACAAAAGTGAAATCATAGAAAACTTTAATTTTTTTCAAAAAGTTTAGATTAAATTTTATTTTAATATTCTTTTGCTTTATGTTAAACTTCTTTAACCTTAAGTTAGATTTTTTTAAAGGGTTTTTATATTGATTTAAATTAATAATAAAGTCTTATGATCAAGAATTATTTGAAAACTAGCTGATCTGACCCGCAAAAATATGGGTCCTTGTAATTCTATTTTTCCTTATATTTATATCCTAGCTTTTCGGACCCATCAAATACGGGTCTTTACTAAACTTACTATTTCTATATTACTAAATACCATATTACTTCTTATATTACTAAACCTACTACTTCTATTCCACACCGATCATTTCCATACCTATTATTTGTTTACTTTAATATTTTTACGTAAAATAATTCATTTTGAAAAAAAACATGCGCACTTTTTCCACATACCTAAAGCTTATAAGAGATATATAAGACGCATATCATTGATAGCTCAGTGGTTTAGTGCACTGTCATCAGTGTTGTTTTGGGGGATTAAAAACCTCCCTTGATAAATTTTAAATATTTTTCAATCTTGCTGTATTTATAGCAAAATTTTTATTCTAGTATATATCTATATTAATTATAGCAATATTTATAACAAAAAAATAATAGTATAGCAAAAAAGTTTTCTTATTGTTAATATAAAATTTAAAAGTTTTCTCATTTTTATAGATTTATTATACACGATTGTTCCATATACTGCCTGCAAACTCAACATATGCTAAAGACGTTTACCCTTGCAGACATTTGTACGCATTGCTGTACAAATGGCAGAACTATGATCTTAGACCATTAAAAACTATAGATTATAAAATGTTAAGGGAGCGTCAATAAATTAGGCAATATTAAATTTATTAAAAAAAAAAAGAAGTAGATCTTAAGTTCTTTTAGGTGGTAATTTTCATTAAACTTAATGAGCTATTTTTATTTTTTATTTAACTTGCGACTCTGGTTATCTAAATTCTGTGGTTGTTGCGTACTCGGTTTAGAATATTTAACGTCAGGCGTGGTAAAATAGCTGTAAAACTTTAAATTTCCTTATTATATTAATATTAAATAATTTTAACTTTTAATTATTTTTAAAAATAATTAATTTAATACAATAGTTTATTTAAATATAAAATTAGAATTTTCAATTATGTTCTTATTAAAAACATACTTTTTAAACCCCCTTAATGTTTTCAAAAAAAGTTAAGTTCGCTGCGTGGCAAGTTTAAATCATCAACTTGCTTTTTTTAATTTTTGTTATTTTAAATGCTGTAATAAAAAAACTTTATAGTTCTATACACTTTTTATATAAACATGTTTATACTCTTATTTTATATCTTATTTCTTAGTTTATATCTTCCTTGCACGAACTCTAATTAGTTTTAAAAAAACTTGAAATGTAAAACTAAACTAACATAAGTACAGGGTCGGACTTGCAAGGGAGGTTGAGGGATTCCCCCCTGGCCCCTGCTATGTCTAAAGGTCTATGTCCTGGGCCTCTCTATCAAGATACACAAATAAAGCATGCAAAAATACAAATTGATAATAGCTAATTATTGTAAATATGCATCAATTTTTATTTTCCTATACCCTTTTAAGAAAAAATGTGATTAAGAGTTTAACGTATTTTTGCTAAATTTTTTGCTACCTTTTGGGATTCTATCAAAATTGTTGTAATCTAATTCGAATTTTCCACCTTGTTTCTGGTTCTTTTATTTCTAGATTTTATTTGATATTTTTTTGCAATTGTTTAATGTATGTTACTAATATTGTTAGTATAATTGTTTAATAAGTTACATCAATCTAACTAAAGGTTAAAGAAGCTTAACATAAATATATTATTAATATAATAATATATTTATGTAAAATTTAATCTTAAATTTTTAAATTTACGGTTAGGCAAATAGAACGTTTGATTAGTTTTTTTTATTTTCATGTAATATAAAAAAACGTACTACTGAATTCATACATACTTCTGAATTCAAAACATTTTTCAAAATTTTTGTTATGCATTAATGTGCTACACAAACAGATACATGTGATAAATGTGCTACACAATAACTGCTCAAAAATATCAAGTTATTATCAAAAAACTCATCAAATCACCTATTAATAAAAAAATTTTAATTTTATGATTTTTTTAAATAAAAACAATTATTACTTTTTAAATTGAAAAAAAATTTAAAATATTTACATACCATAGACAGATGTTTAGTATACATTATATATTTTTTAGTTGTAATAAAGTACTAAAAGTGGGGACAAAAAGGTAAGTTATATTATTGAATATTTTGAATATGTGCACATACACACACATAGGCGCATACATTTATATTCATATACATACACACATACATACATACATACACTCACACACACACACACACACACACACACACACACACACATGCACACACACACGCACACACATATATATTGGCTTGGCAGGAAGACGTGCGATTTCAAGTCTTTATATGACCGCATTAATAATATTTTGTTTTGACAATTTATTCATGATTTTTAACAAATGCATTGAAAAATTTGATTATTAATAATTACATATAATTACGTTGAAAATAAATAACTTCAACAGGTTTATCTTTACTAATGTTTTTATATTAGAAAAACGCTTTTTCAAAAAATAGCTAATGATGTTAATTAAAGTATTATGGAAATCTGTATAAAGTTTTATTTATTATTTAATTATATAAAATTTTTTTATAAATAAAATAATAAAAAAAAGTAAAAAAAAAAAAATTTTTTAAAATTAAATTTTATAAGTGACAACTTTAAACAGTGATGGTCTCTTTAATAAACTTGAGATAAGAATCATTAAAGTTAATTCACTTGAAAAGTAGAAAGATTTTGTTTAGAAGAAAATTTTTTTTTTGAAAGTTTGAATTAAATAATGATCATTAGCTGTTTTAATTAAATAATATTTTTATATTATTGAAACGCATTTAAATAAAGTAACAAATCGCTGCTAATAATTTTTTATAAAAATATTTATGAATAATATATAATTTTATTTATATAAGTATTTATTTTTTTACTATCAATGTCTTTAAAGGGACTACCAAGTCCCGAGACATGTTGTGTTCATATTAAAGAGAATGTTAAAAAAATTTTTTTTGCAAATTTCTTAGCAAATTTTTTTTGATTAAAACTCATTAATAAATGTATACCAAGAAAAACAAATCTTGTTGTTATAGTCGAAGCTCATCTTCTCCGTTTTCTGTGGTATTTTGATTATGTAAAATAAACGCGGTTTTCCAGGCGCATTATACAGACTTGATAATTTATTCAAGCGCGTTTAATTCATAGTTTTAGTGCATGACATCATAGATTTTTGTTTGTTTGTTTAAAACACTGATTGTTATTTTTTACATACAATTTCCAAATCATATTCATTTTTATTGTATTTCAAAGTTTTAAAATGTGTTTGTAAAACAAAATAACAAACAAAATAAAATTACAAACAAAATAAATAAAATAAAATAAAAAATTAAAAACAAAAATAAATTAAAAAACAAAATAGTATTTTATTTGCGCAACTTTTTTAAAATAATTGTCTAGACGTGTATTTTGATTTCTTTTGTTATAAGTTTTTCTTTCAAAATATTAGATAAAATAATTTTTAACTTAAATAATAATGCACTTTTATTAATTTATTTTGTAAATATTAAAAAAAAAATTATTAACGCATTTTTTCTCTGATTTTCAAAAATGTATTTTTTGGTATTGAGGTGATCTTATTTCATTATTTATATTTCTATTATTATAACATACAATATATATTATGGCGGGGGCTTAAAAATTAAAAAATTAATTTATATTAATTTTTATTCTACAGACATACATGGAAACATGATCAACTTTAACATTTTGCGGAATAAAAAGAATATTCGCGAACACTAAAAACCCACCAAATTTGTGAACAAACTAATTCTATTGGTTCAAAAAACACACTGACTAAGCGAAATAAAGTTCTAGAGTATTCTGTTAAAATGTTTTAGAAATTGTATTATTTACGATTTGTTGCGTTTTAAGATATCTAGCATAAATTTTTTTAAGAATATATTATCAAATGAACTATTACTTTAATATTATGGCTCATTCTCGGAGCCACATCTGCAAAGTCGTAAATCTTTTAAACTATTATCATTTGTTTACAAAAATAAATGTTTTATAATATATATTTTTTAAGTTGTCAAAATTTTGAAAGTTAATTACAAATTATATATTTTATTAGTATATTCTTAATTTTTATATCTTTTCTTAGTGCTTGGTTTAATTAATTGTTCGTTAGATTTGTAAAAAACTAATGAACAATGAATAAAATAAACTTTTAATAAAATAAGTAACTATTTTAGTGAAATTTAATAGTAAAATTTAAAATTTTTAAAGAGTTTCTAGAATGTTTCAAATGACGTCATACACTAAAACTCCTATAAATTATATGCGCTTGAATAAATTATCAAGTCTGTATAATGCGCCTGGAAAATCGCGTTTATTTTACATACTCAAAATACCACAGAAAATGGGGAAGACAAGCTTCGACTAAAACAACAAGATTTGTTTTTCTTGGTATACATTTGTTAATTAGTTTTAATCAAAAAAAATTTGCTCAAGCGTTTTTTTTTTAATATTTTCTTTAATACGAACACAACATGTCTTGGACTTGGTAGTCCCTTTAAATAAATAAAAAAATTATTTCAACTTTTTAAATAAACAATTTAATTATTTTTTCTTTTGTTTACACTATTGCGAAGAATTGTTTAGTATCTTTTTTTTAACTTGTAAATGTGCGCATTTATTTAACAATAGTTAGATGTAAGTTGTTACTTTATTTAAAAAGGGTTTCGCATAATATTTTATTATAAAAACAGTAAAGATAAACGACTCAAAGTTATTTATTCTAAAAAATCTTATTATTATAGTTTATTATTTATTTTAGTTAAGTTTTAATTTTATTTTCTTATTTTTGTTTTAGTTTAGTTGTTTTTATTTTATTTTTCATTATTTTTTTTTACGAAGATATATTTGCTTTATTACAATAAGTTTATTTTTTAAGTTTCTTCAAAATTAAATGCGTTTTTAAAATGTATAAAAAATTTCAAAATATTACCAGCCATGGTCAAGTTTTAAAATGAAATAGTATTTGTGTGGTCATATTATGATGTGAAATCGGACGCCTTCCTGGCCAAGCCTGTATATATACACATATGTATACATATGTAAATGAGTGCAAGGCAAGGCAAATTATCTGTCCTGGTATTTTTGTGTCCAAGTTAGAGTTTTTTCTGTGTTTTTTGTGCAAAAAAACAGTTTTGTGTGTGTGTGTTTTTTTAATGTGTTTTTTAAATTAAAAAAAACTTATTACATGTTATATGTAATATGTTAGCAATTAATATAAAATTTTAAATAGTCTAAAAAATAAATTTAAACTACTTTTTATACAACAGGTTGTATCCCGAATTTCTTGTTTAGTAAGGTTGGTTCAATAACTCTGTACAGTAATATTGTCCAGATTAAGTTATTGGCTTTGACTTTAAGTTGTAGATAAGGCCGGTGCAAATAAGTGCCTTATGGCTCATGCCTACTAAAATAGTCCTCAAATTCCCCAATTTACTGACTAATCATAAACAGTCAAAGTCCCCTTTTGCAGAATGAAAAAAAATCTAAAAAAGTTCTTAGTTTGGTTACTGATTGATTAAATTGGGGGGGGGTTCTTAATTTGTCAACCAATTCATTAAATGGGGAGGGGTTCACCTCCTCCTTTTTGCTCTGACCTTGGTTGTAGATTTTCGTGCATCATATTTTTGACTTGCAAGTTCTAAATTATGGGAAATAAAAACTTTCATACTCTGTCATTTGTTAATTCAGGGTTGGATTTACTTTATGGGGCCCCTGTGCCATATTGACATGGAAACACAATTTTTTTTGGAAATAAAAATTTTAGTTTGTGAGTTTTATCACCATTAGTAGACAAAGATTGTTGACTAAATGATCTTTTTACCACTGTAATAGTTTGTGGAAGCGATACAATTTTACTAACACTATTTGACAGTATTGGAGCACATGAGCAACATAAAATGAATAACATTACAACAAGATTAAAAATACCTATTACAGACTAACAAAACTAAATCTTCAAAATTTAAACAAAGATATGTTTAAAATTCAATACAGTAGTATAATAAAATAGAAAGTATACTAATTTAATGAGCCCACAGCGTAGTTAATACATGCACTTCAATAAAGCAGGTCAGAACACTCAAAACATTTAAGTGTCACCAAATATTTGGCAGTCTAATATTGGTGCTTTGGCCAGGCGTCAAGTAGAATATTTAGTATTCAGCGAAATTACTATTTGTGACATCTCTAATGTTTTTCTCACAATTTTATGCTAAATGTTTGCATGTTCAATAATTAATCCAACCCTGTTCTTTAAAAAAACATTGAGTGTTTTGTAGTGTGTGTGTATATATATATATATATATATATATATATATATATATATATATATATATATATATATATATATATATATATATATATATATATATATATATATATATTTATACATACAACCCTTGGAATTAAGAAAAAGGAGGTTAGCAATAATTTGCCGATCTTTTAGAGGTCGCTATCAGGTCGGTATAAATTATTAGATACAAAGGTCTGACCATAAAACATAGAAATGAGGTCGGCTATTTTTTGCTGACCTCAAACACTTTTAGGTCAGCACTTAGGTTGGCATTGCTAAATGCCGACCCTTATTCCGAGGGTTGTATATATATGTATATATATATGTATATATCATTGATAAAGTGCTGACTAAAGCAGCAAAAGTTAGTGTGTTTGTGTGTGTGTGCATACACACATTTCTTATTATTATTGTCTTTTTGTTTATAAAATATTTGTATTGTTTTTAGACCACAAGAAAATAGAAGCAGTGATTCAAATCAAAGTAAAAAGACATTTAAAGCAAAGCCAAGACTGAAAAATCAAATACGTGCACCTTTAAACTCGATTACTATTAATAAAAAAAAACAACCAAAAATATTTAGCTTTCCTGAAATTAAAGACAATGGTTTGAACAATATCCTTCAACAAATTGTTCCTTCTAACCAACAAGTTAATTCTCCTAAAGAAAAATTTGAATTTGCTATAAGTCCATTAGAGAAAACTGATTCTACATTTATTGAGCCCACTCCGCACCTATCTACTCAGTCCCTGTCCACTCAACACTTATCCAACCAGTCTGTTTTTGTGCATCCCTCTCAGGTTGAAAATAAATACGTCAATCAATCTTTTCAGGATAATTTCAGAAATAAAGGAGACAAGCCTTATGGGTATTATGTTAATGTATGTATAATTACTTGATTGTAAATCATTTTTTAAAATAATCAATTATATAAATTGATAAATATATAAAGTAAACCATTATTTTAAATAATGAATACCACAAATAACTGTAATGTTTTAAGAGAATTTTTAGCTGCTTATCAATATAAAATAGGGAGCAATTAAAGGGATGGCAAGTTTCCTTTATGAAACTGACTTGTTGGTTAATTGCTTCAAAGTGGTTTTAGTTTTTTTTCTTTCAATATTTTAGCAGGACATCCTGAACATTTTTATCCATAGTACTTAATACATAATACATAATAATTAATACATAATTTTCTATCCATAGTACATAATACAGACTCGAAATGTTTAAAACCAGTTGTGGTGCAGTGGTTAGAGTTCTGGCTCAGAACCAAGTGGTCCAAGGTTTGATACCATCTCCAGCCAGATAAGCAACATTGGTCAAAAAGGAGGCATGAAAACACACTCACAAAATTATGTTGTTATATGTTCTTTTAGGAGCATCTTTGCTGAAAAAATGTTCCAAAAAAATGATTTTTTGTGATTTTAATTTTTTTTTTGTAGTAAAAGTAAATTATATTCTTAATTTAATTTTTATGATTTTAAAAACTCAGACGCAGATTTTTAAATCTTCTTACACATTTGAATTTGCATTAAAAATAAAGGCACAAAACTTATTTAAAATTTGTGCAAAAACTTAGTGAACGCCAGTTAAAACTAAAATCAATGAGTTATTTTGAATATAATAAGAAAGCTAAACCACACCTTAAAATCATCTTAATTAATTAATAAACATCTTAATTAATAAAAATCTTAAACATCTTAATTAATTAATAAAATCAAATTTTATCAAAAAGTGTTTTAGTGTTTTAAAATGGTGACCATGTAGAATTTAAAACCCTCTCAGTAGGGAATTGAATTGTTTAAAACACAAGTATTCGTCTTAGAAGTCTTGTCATTTGGAAGTTTCAAAAACATGTACTCTTGTAAAAACTTATTCAGTCCTTTCAGGTAAGGTTGATTGTGAGTTTTACAGGATATTTAGCAATTAAATCATTGTATGACTGAGAAAAATATCCTTTTATTTTTAATCCATGATGGGTTTTTTGGCTCAGCTGTTTAGTTAGTTTATATTTATATCTGGCTTCAAATCCGGGACAGTTTTGGCAAAGGACCTAGATATGATAAGAAATAATAGGATTGTTAGCATGTGTGTCCTAGAATTTTAAATCTAGGAGGGACTCTGAGACTTTTTACAGAGTATACCATAATTAGGGTTGTTCCAGAGAAAGTAATTTTGACACCATTTTTAAATTCAACAGTTTTTTTCAATAAAAAAAAAGATAAATTTTTTGTACTAAAACTTGTTTATTATGATTGCTATCTAGGGAAGGATTCCATCTGCACCTAATGGGTATTGCTTTGATTTTTGGAACAAAGGAGCATGTAAAAGATTGCATTGTCGCTATGAACATCAAGTAATAAATTATTTTTTAAACTTTAATTAATTTTTAATATCAGTTTATATATTTGTCTAAGTTAAAATGAAAATTAAAGAAAATGAATTTCTAAAAAGAAAAAAATCTTAAACATAAAACAAAAAAATTTCCAAATATTTTTTGTTTGCTTCCCCTTCCCTCAATTGTCTGCTTTGCAAAAAGGAGAGGTGTTCGTATTAAATTAAAAACATGTTATGTTGAATATTTTTATTTTTTTTTCTTATACATAATATATGTTGTAATATTCTTGTTTATTGTTTTAAATATTGCTTGAATTACTGTTATAATTTACAGCATAATGCTTTATAAAAAATATATGCTTTTTTATCATATTAATTTTTGAAGTTATTTTTACTTTTGCATGATATTATACAATAATAAAATAGAAAAAAAATATTGCAACATTTACATATACATACATCAATCCTTCTGCAATGAGGCATGTGGTGGCATGCCTTACTGACCATGTATTTAACATTTTGTTTTGACTAATTGGCTATGTTGTTTTTTGTAAAAAAAATTGTCCTCGTAAGCAACTTTTATACAAAGCGAAAAGTACATAAATTGACTATCAAATATGCTATTTGATAGTCAATTTATGTACTTCAGAGTACATCGACTGATGGTTAGATTAGGGTCAGCATCAAGGTCAGGGTTAGGGTTAGAGCAAAGTTTAAGTATGGTTATATTACTTATTTTAATTAATTATTTTTGTAAATAGATGAAAAAAAAAAAAAAAAATGAAATATATAATAATTAAATAAAAATATAAAAAAATTAAAGAAAAAATCAGTTAATTGGTATAGAAAAAAATGTCCCCGTAAACACCAATTAGGAGCATATATATATAGGCCTCAGCAGGAGTAAATGAGTATAAGAGTGGTGAATCACTTTCCTATAACAAACATGAACCATGCAAGCTGCCAAAACAATGTCATCTTAAACATTAGTTAACCAGAGATAATTTTAAAATAAACAACTACCAAAAAACTTGTATTTTGGTAGTTATTTATTTTTATTCATTATATATATATATATATATATATATATATATATATATATATATATATATATATATATATATATATATATATATATATATATATATATATATATATATATATATATATATATATATATATATATATATATATATATATAATATATATATATATATATATATATATATATATATATATATATATATATATATATATATATATATATATATATATATATATATATATATATATATATATAAATAATGTAAAAGTAGAAAAAATAAATTGTAAATTTTTTATTTTTATTTTTACATTACATTTTTTAGATTATTTATTGACATCAAATTATTAAAGCTATTCTTTATATTGATATACTATAGAATAGAACATAACATTTTTTAATAAAAAGGGTCGCATTTTTTTATATTCTTTACATCAAAGTTTAGAAATTTGTTATTATCTTCTATAAGTTACAAATTTCTACTAGTTTTTCACTATTAACTTTTTGATGCCTTGAGCAATACCCAATTACACAATTCTTTAGTTTTTTGCTGTAGATGACTCAAATTTCGTTTATAACACCTATTTTCCATAGCCTGCTGAAATCTGAAAAAAACTTATTTGGGTGCTTGCTCACTCCAAAACCTAAAACTTTTTACAAATTTTTCGTAGTGTTGGAGGAAGTCTTTGCTGGCTAATATGCTTTTCAGCTGGAATGTTAATAAACTCAGGTAGGTGCTTGATGGCAGCATGAACTTTAGGTGTATTTAAAACTGCTGCAGTAAAAGCAACATTTTCAAGACAAAGTTCATAAACTCTAAAATTACTTTAAGTTTTCATAATATTTGTTCACAGACAACAATTGCCAAGATCATGAGTTCAGGCCTTGAATTAACACAAAAAAATCTAATCATATAAAGAAAAAAAAATTTCAACCCCTTCCATCCCTGGCGCGGCTCTGTAGCAAGGGGGAGGTTGCATTACTATAAAATTGTATTTTTTCATCATTACTTCGTAATTTATTTAACACAATATCTCTCATGTTTAAATACTATCTTTTATTTTTATTTTTTGGCGGAGTTTAAAATAGCGTAGTTGACTGTTTTAATTTACAGCTTAAGTTTTAGTTTAGTGTAATGAGCAAGTTATGATGTAATGAGCGAGTAAAGTATTTAATTCTATTACTGTATTACTTTTAGTACAATATTACTTTTAGTAATACATTCATGCTGATGATAAAACATTATTTTTAAAGAGTATTGAATTGTTATTGTAAAAAACTGTAAAACAACAATAAAAAAACTGCAAAATTAAGAGCTTGTGTTAATATAAAACAACTTCGTGTTGCTATTTTATAAAGTTAAGTTTTTATAACATTAATATCATAAAATGCATTTAAGATAAAACTAATTAAATAAATAGAAATGTTTAATTAAAAAGAAATGCATAAGCATGCATATCCGTAGACCAAATGAGTAAGGTCAAAGCAAAAAATCATTAGATACCATGTTTTTATAATTTATTGCTATTATTGTTAAAAATCTTAGAATAATAAACATACTATTAAAAATTTAAGTAAAATAATTTTTTCATTCAAATGGTTTTTAAGTTGATGTTTTCATTCAAATTTTTTGTTCAAATTGTTTTTTTAACAAAAAGTGAGAAAAAAATTTGGTTCAATAAATCAATTTATATTTCGTTAAGTTTAAATATATGCTTAAGTTATTTTTTTGGAAAAACATTTCCTTGAACAGAAGAAAAATATTTTTTATTATTTTTAAATAAGCAAAAAACTCACTTTTCTAAAGTATATAAGATCTTCAGTTCTTTAGGATGGCGATTTTCAATAAACTTAATGAACTATATAGATTTTTTATTTAACATACAACTCTGCGAGGAAATATTTTGATCATTTTTGTTTTCTTCAATTGTGAAATTTAGCGGTGCATAATTTATAGACGATACTTTATTTTAAAGTTTAGATAAACGATCAGCTAAAAAGTATATAAAGCCAAAAAATAATGCAATTAATACTATTTTGATGGTTATCTAAATTATGTCGTTGTTGTGCACTTGGTTTTGAATTTTTAACAGGGGCGTGGTAAAATAGGTGTATAACTCTTTGTATAAATTTCCTTATTGTATCAGTATTAAATAACTTTAACTTTTAATTATTTTTAAAAATAATTAGTTTAATAAAATAGTTGAATTTAGATATAAAATTGAATTTTTAATTATGTTCTTATAAAAAACATACTTTTTAAACCCCTTGTACTGTTTTGAAAAAGTTAAGGTCGCCATGTGGCAAGTTCAAATCATCAGCTTGCTTTATATTTTAATTTTTGTTATTTAAAATGCAAAACAAAATATTTTTACAGTTCTATAGATTTTATATTCTATAATTAAACATGTTGTATACTCATTTTTCTTGCACTAACTCAACTTAGTTGTAAAAAAAACTTGAAATGTAAAACTAAAATAACATAAGTATCTCAACCATGACACACGCGCAACAAATATCCCCCCGTTTTTGAATGTTTTTAGAATATTTAGCTTTTTTAAAAAAAATTTCTTTTGTTAAAGTGTATAACATCGTTAGATATGTTTGTATTTGACAAGTATTTTAAAAATTAAAAAAAAAAAAAAAAAAAAAAGTTGCCGATGGTTGGATTCGAATCACGGCCTTTTTGTTCAGAAGCTCAGAACTCTAACCACTCGGCCATGCTGGCACGTGGTCATTGAAATTTTAAAACTATTTAAAATTTGTTTTTAACAGAAATATATGCTGTTGATCAAAAATTAAGAGATTTACACAATGCAGTTTTTAAGTGAAAGTCAAATCATGAAGTTTATGTATGTACAATAGAAGTTTCACGTTTGCTCACGTTTTGTTATAAAGCAAAGCTGAGACTCTTTCTCGCCAATACTTTGGTTGCAACGGCTGCCAAGGGTTTTGTGTCAAACATGCTCCAAGGGACACTACTACTAATAAAACTATTAAGTTCAGCAATAATATATAGAAATTTATATATTATGTAAGTTATTATGCAATAATATAGTAGGTAATATTTTTATATTATATATATGAGCTTGAGCAATATAAAAAAAAGCTGTTATAACATTCAAAATAAATGTTTTATTTTTTCAAATGTATTTTCAAAAATGTTTAATAAAATTGAATTTGAACAACAGCTTTAATAGAGTGACAACATTGACTAAAAAAAAGATTTGCAACAGAATATTATCTTCTTTTTTTCATAATGGCATTTTTATAAGAAATTTATTTTTTTATTTCAAAAACCAATCATTTAGTCCAATCTAATTAAAAACATTTGCATTTCAATTAGCGCTCTTTTTAAATTTTCCAGCATTTTTGGTCATTTAGGTATCTAACTTCCAGACATGGTGTAAACTCCGAACATTTATATGTTTATACTTATGTCAAAAAAGGATGACAAAAAATTGCGATAATTGGAGCCTAGGAATAAAAAAGCCCAAAAATGTTGACATCTTCTACGAGGTACGAGAGGATATATAAATATAAACTACTTTAAAACATCAGATAATACAAATTCTCTCAATACTAAATAATTTATTTAAATTTTCATCGGATTATGGGTACCGCCATCATCAGCACATAATATAATTACAAAATTGTAACCATTAAACAACAACAACAAATTAAAATTCGACCTCAGCTTTATAATGATTTCTTTTACATAAACATGAAAAAAAGTCTAAAAATTCATTTTGATGTATTGTCCGTTGTCTAAATTAATACCACCGTACATTGTTGAACATTAATTTTTTCGTATCTCCAAGGCTTTTTTTTTTTTTTTAAAGTTTATTTTATGTGCTCCAAAAAGTCCTTGCAGTCTTATCACAGAGCACAGTGGAAAAGCATTTGATGGAAGTTCATGCTTCCTTCCTTAATGATGTTTTAAAACTTGATAGGGATTTGATAAAAGATCCTTGATT